GTATAATCACTGGGAACTGGAGTCAGGCAAACAGAGGAGAAATAAGATACATTTTCCTCTAACTGTGAACAGTGAACCCTTTGGAACAATGTGTTTACAGATGTAATGGACCAATACTAATTTGATATCTTTTTAAATGAAGAGTTGATGCCTTCCCATAAGATACTCACTTTTCCAGGATTTAAGACACTGACTAGCGGGCAGATTGTATGGCCTTCATTAGTCGACAGTGCAGACCAGATGGCTGTAGATATCTCTCTGACCTCTAAATTACTGAAATGCTAATAACTACACTCAAAAAATGTTTGGAAAACGGGGATGCAGAAGAGAGAGGAGATACCAATGCTTAGGAGCAGACCAAAAGCTTAACGAGCCACTGAGAACCAGCATGAACACATTTCAGTCCCATATCTCCATAGGGGTTAGGGCTGGGAGAGACATGGGGATTTGTTTAGAGACTGTTTGTTCTAGATAAATAGTTTCCGGGATCTAGTTAGAAGTATTTATAAAATCCTTTCATTAGCTAAGAATAGAAAGTAACTACAACAAGCAACATTTTTTCAGGTTCATGTAAGACAGCCCGTCTTCATCTGGCCACTTGCTTCAGTAATTAGTCATACCTGGCCTGTTGATTACAGTCTCATTGTAACCAGACCAGGATTTATCACACTGAGCATGACGACAAAAATCCGACCATGAATAATGGGCTTAGTTTTGTGGACAGCAGCAAAGTTTATATACTTAGCTGCAGTCAATAAATACTAAAAAATAATGCGGAAATATAATATATGTATGCTCTTATATATATTATATAACACTAAAACACACAATTTGTATGTAATTATGAATATAGATAAAATAACAGAAATATTACACATTAAGAATAAAAAGCCTTCTGTAATTTCCACTACTCTGGCAAATGAGAAGTATATTTGCTTTTAATAACTCCCCATAGCTTTCACCCACACTCCAGTTTCTACTTGTTCAATTGCCATATATCATAATTTCCTGTCATTTAAACCACCAAGTCGCACTTTCATTTCCGGGGCTCCTTCTGAATAGCCTAAAAGCATCAGCAAAACTGTGAACAGCTGATTCCCTCCTCTTTTGTCAATGAATGTCTCCAGCTGTTTTTTGAAGTTTATACCTTTCTTGTAAGGTGTTTCAGGTTGCCCTTCATATTCCGGTGTCCAAGCAATAACCACTGAAACCCACCACATCTAAATGACTTAAAATATTTCAAAATGCCACTTTGACCCCTCATCATATTTAAGCCTTCAAATACCTTTGGACTCAGAGTATTTGTATCCTAATTTCTATATAGAATCATAGAATCATTCAGGTTGGAAGAGACCCTTGGGATCATCGAGTCCAACCATCTACCCTACTCTACAAAGTTCTCCCCTACACCGTATCCCTCAGTACTGCATCCAAATGTCCCTTAAACACATCCAGGGATGCCCATCTCCCTGGGCAGCCTGTTCCAATGCCCAACCACTCTTTCTGTGAAAAATTCCTTCCTAATGTTCAGTCTAAACCTCCCCTGTTGGAGCTTGAAGCCGTTCCCTCTCGTTCTGTCACTAATTACCTGTGAGAAGAGACCAGCCCCAACCTCTCTACAGTGTCCTTTCAAGTAGTTGTAGAGAGTGATGAGGTCTCCCCTCAGCCTCCTCTTCCTCACACTAAACAGTCCCAGCTCCTTCAGCCGCTCTTCATATGATTTGTCTTCCAGGCCCTTCACTAGTTTCGTTGCCCTCCTGCATGAATCCTCACAGAAAAATGTGAAAAATAATAGGGAAACTTTCTCCTGATATCGCTTCTGTAAAACTTTACCTGAAATTTTATGGTTTATATGTGATCGTTAGACATTTCCAGCAAGATCAATACTGGCTGTGGAAGAAAAAGCTCTTCTATTGGTTTCCAGTACATGAGAGAACTTGACTGTTCAAAATCAGTCAAAAGGTTGCTTTTTAAAGAAATTTAGTTTGTTAAGATTAAAGTTAAGAAACAAGTAAAGGAACTGACAGAAAATCTTACAGTATAGTCGCTACAGCAAAGTGAAGTCACTGAAATCTCTTTCACAATTTTGTGTTTGGTCAAACAGTGAAGCAATGTAGATAATTGCTATTTAGAATCCCATAAACAAGGACAGCTATTTACCCTGGAGAGCTAAAACTCCTCCAGAAAACAAAGAGTTTAGAAAAGAAGCCGTTTTCCATAAACAGTTACATTTTAACATAAGATACAAAGCCAAATTTTGCAAGATCTTTGCAACTGAAAAGCACCATGCAGAAATTACTGTATGAAGAAACAGATTCCTTCATACAAAACTCTCAGTTTAAAATCACTATCTGATCCAGGTTGACTAATTTTAACTGCTGGAGGCTAGATGTAAAATCAGGCTAAACTAATACTACCAGGTTTAAAAATCTGAATTTTAAGTGGCTGTGGCCAGAAATACCAGGTTTTTTTACATTAATTTGTTAGAATACTCCAAATAAAGGAGTGTTTCGGTGCCATCTGTCAGGATTCCTCCAATGAGCTGGAAGAAATTAGCCTATATGCTTCTTATATAAAGCATGACGTCAAATCTCAGTATCGGTTCTCAAAAGAGTAAAATTCTTAAAGGTAGACGTAAATGTGCTGTTTCTTCAGTGCAATGAACCCTTAAGATAAGTTTGTAATCAGACTGATAATGCTTGATTAATACTTGATTCAGGAAATAAATTCCAAAACAAATTCCGCCCTCTACCCTCTCCTAAGCTAGAGCTTGAAATCTGAGAGAAAGAAGTTTTAAAAAACGGTAAGATGTAAAAATGTAAAAGACTTTTCTTTTGGAAGAGGCTGGAATTCTTTTTCTGGTACTGCTTATGGGGAAAAATGAGCAAAGCCTCAGACCGACCGATTTCTTCAGACAAAACAATCTGAAGACAGGCAAGAATTTTCTTGTTCAGGGAATGAAAATGACAGCAAATGGTAAGTGCAATTGGGAACGATAAAAACAACATGGATTCTTCACTCTAACTGAAAGTCAAGAGAACTCAGAGACTTCAGTTACTTCCAAATCTTGGAATAATCTTGCACCAAAATATTTAAACTCTTGAAGAAATTTCAGTGCAAGTCTTGTGAAAAGACTTCTTCACCAGCTTCTTCACCTGCATATCTTGACTCCTGTAGGGGCCTTTCTCTGCTGCAAGCAGAGTTGCTGCAGGACACTTACCAATATGGACAAGATATCAGCAAAGAACTCTTTTGTGATTACAATATAATTGTGATGAAGATCAAATGGAGCAAAATTACAGCGCTTCCTTCTCAATAAGTAAAACAACTTATAACTAGACGAGTTGCAAAATTAAAATTATTGCCCCATAACGTACAGATATTTGTTAAATAAATTTAGCAGTACCTGCATTGCAAGGATTTTATTTTCCTTTGTATACACACGTTTCTTTGTCAGATTTGAATGAAATTTCTGCAAGCTGACCTCCTCTTGCTCTTCCGCACGCTTGGAGCGCCTCTTTCACTCCAGTGCATCAGTTTTAAGAAACTATCTTTTTAAAGGTTGCAGAGCTGTAAAGTCACCTAGGGTCTGCAAATTAAAGCACTAAGAAGGAATAGCATCTAAATTGTTAATATGCTGTCAGATTATGAAACACCATCAACAGGTGGGACACCTCAACACGGGTGTCAGTGGTAAGAGAAGCATGGGGAACTGCTGCAGCATAGCACAGCAGTCCAACATTTTGTTATCTGTCCTGTCTATTGGAGAGCCAGTCAAAATCTTGCATAAGGTGACTGCAAAATTTTGCATCGCGCGAGGTGATACTAACTAGGAGACAAGACCAATGATCATATGAGACAAGAACATATCCAGGGCTAAATGACGCTATTACAGGACAGGTGTGGTGACAGGTAACTTTGAGGCTCCTCTGCCTCGGAGCCTCAAAAACAGCACCAGTGCAGCTTCAGATCCAGGAAGATGTTCTGCTTCAAACTGGCTTGTACCACACCAGAGCCAATTCACTTGAGTCTCGTTTTCTGAAGTGCTGAACACCTGCAGTTTCCTCTGATTTCCGTTGGTGCAGAGGGCACTCAGCGCTTCCGAAAACTGAGCATTATGCATGAGCAGACACGCTCTGAAGAAGCAGATGCTCCACAAAAGCCAAAACTGCCATCACTTACACAAGCCCTGTGAGTTCCCTCCAGAGGAGAGTTTGAAGTGGGAAGCTTCAGAGAGAGATGTTTAAATACCTCCAGCAACTACAGAACAGGAATAGAGATAGGAAAATAACAATGTCACCGTTGCTACTGTTAGCCTTGCAGGATTTTAGACATCCAAACAAAACGGGTGGTGCTGAGTCTCTCCGTGTTATCTGGCAGGCAAAGAAACAAACTGCAGCAGTTCCAATAGGACAAATAATTTTACGTTTGGACGGGACAGTTTGACACAAGAGGTGGATTTCTGAAACAGTGTATGAGGAAACATTCCTGTCATCTTAATGAAAGAAGGAAATCAAAGGAAGGAACTGCATTGCTAACAACAGAAAAAAACAGAATGGTGTGATTCTACAAGCACGCTGCTTCAGTGATTTCACAGTAAAAAAAAATGATTTAAGTAACATTTGCCTAAAATGCACAGAAATATCAATTAAATACAAACACAACTTTCTGAGGTAAAAACAATAGCAGCTAGTATTGGTTAGCTCACTGCTTAGTTTTCATTAAAGTGCTCTATAATGTGCACTCTGAGTTAGGAGCTGGGTCTCTCTGTGTACGTGTGGCCCTACTGTAGGGACTTTAGAACTACAGCTTGTCCCTCTGCAACTGGCAACCAAATACAGGAAGATTTCAATTTATTTGGAACAAAAGTCTTCTACATGCATGAGGGATACATTAGGGATGTAGGTATTATGGTGTTTTTGGTATTTGAGGTGACCCTGTTTTTAAGGGACTAACACCACTATAAGGTGAGAACGACCAAAACCCAAGCTAACTCTTACGTGATAAAATCTGTCAGGTTGCACCACTTTTTAGAGTCCACTTTCTTCATCATCTCTTCAAAAGATTTTCCACAGGCAGGCAACTTTTCTAACATGAGAGATTCATTGCAGAGATTAGCCTGTTGACGTGCACCTAGGTAAAATCAGAAAGCACCTTAAATCTCAAACACGGATTTAGAGGAAGCAGACAAACCCATCACTCACAAACTCCTTCACGTAATTCTGCTTGTCATCTATATTGTTGCAAACATAACATTCAATTTTCTAGATAAAATATACCTTTATGTAAATTTATTAAAAACATAACTTCATATCACATACTATAGGTTACCATATCTAGTATCATCTTTTAGACAAAGCATAGAGGAATCTACCTAGTCACTTTTCTAATCTTAGCTTCTACTAATACTAACTTATTATTGCCCATTTGCATTTATAGTTAAAAGCTAACTGGAGTTACTGATCGTATACTTCAGTGTAGGAAGCACTTCTCAAGCCTATAGAGACATGTCCCATGGACCCATGTGACTGTAAATGAACTTGGATGTCAGAAACATTTGTATATCTTCCCAACTAAAGGGTTCAAAATCCCACAGTCACAATTAAGCTTCTTTCTGTAGTATATCTTTAGGATATACTAAAAGGAATTATCTACCATTATCTGATGTTGATGTTACACGCATACAGCTACTTGCAAAGAAAGAGTTAACCTTGACTTGAGCAACCATCTATCTTTTGCAATCTCTAATGGCAACTCCACAATATTTAGAGTCAAAGTCAAAGGTTTTTCTCATTCAGCCCACACCTTCATTGGAATACAAAGATAGTATTTTGACATTTCTTATAAAATTAAAAGTCTGAAAAAAATCTATTCAGACTAAAACATTTGATTTTAATAAGGCTGAAACACTTTGTCTTGCCTTATGTTCACAATTTCCCTGTTTTGATTGCTCTTCTATATACAAAATGCATACATTTTGTAAAACGTTAAAAATTACCTGTAACAATGTGCATGTCAACATATTTAATACAAATGCCTAAATTAAATTAGTCAGGCAAAAAAAAAAAAAACAAACTGCCCTAAATTAAATTAGTCAGGCAAAAAAAAAACCAAACTGTGATTTCTTCTCAGTACAGATCTGAGAAAAGGATTTGCCTGAACAAAACTGCAACCCTAACAAACCTCTTAGGTGTCAGGCAACCCTCCTGAGAATTCTGGAGGAATAGCTTTTCTAAAGAATAAAGCCAAGGAGAACAGAACACTTTGTCCTTTTTTAATCACAGAAAAAAAGACATCTAAGTAGAGTCAGGTCTTGCACCTTTTTCTTCTGAACCTACATTTTCACTCAGACCCTATTTACAACGGTAAGAGGAGGTATTTCTTTTTCTTGGCTTAGTTGCTTTGAGAGCAGGATCCCATCATTGCTGAAAGAGCTGGGGGTTCTGATTTTACATGGTGACAGCCAAACACACTGACAGGCAAAGCGAGGTCAGAGTCACACAAGCCTTCACTTGAATAGAAGTCAGGCGCAGCCCTCACTCTGAACAGGGCCCTGTTCCTCACTCTTTAGTCCAAAAAAAACTTATGGCAAAATGACTGGTTTCAGGCTTCACATCATGACCAGCTGTCAAGAAGAAAGTGAACATCTCCTTTCAAAATGGCGCTTGTGATTGTAAAACACGCTCAAGTGCACGTTAAGTGTCTGTCCCACAAAGGAGATGGCTCCTCCAAAGCTGAGGCAGGAACATTTTGCAATTTAACTCCTGCTCTGGCAGCCAGCTGTTTAGTTGGGGCAATCAATGACTCAGTGAAGCCATGTGCCAAACGAGAGGCAGCAGTCACATCTGCCCAAAGAAATTACTTTGCTTTCACATACTTTCCAACGGCAGCAGGCCCAAAACCGGACGGCCTACACCACACCTGCGACCCCAAGCCTGCTATTTCATATGGACCACAAACCTCTCCAGGCATATGGGTGACTCAGTGAGACCCAACTCTACCTACCTTCTTTATCATGTCTGACTGCCAGAACTCTTAGAGCTGACACTAAGCCTTCATCCATGTCAGAAAAAAACAATAAAAATCACAACTACAATTTAATGATCAGTGAAAAAAAAAATGATGAAAGCTACAAATCACAGAATCACAGAATCTTCTAGGTTGGAAGGGACCTCAAAGACCATCTTGTCCAAAGATGATCAAAGCCAGTGTAATTTTGTCCTTGGGAAGCTAACATGACAGCACGGACCCTGCCTATGTAAGCATCCCCACCAATTCATCTGGCAGCTGTAGCAGCTATACTTTCCACAGCTAGATCTGCCCATGAACATTAAAGCTGGGCAGAATTCAAAAGCAGGTAAGAAAGTTGCATAGCGGGCAACTTAAATTCCACACCAATGCTTTGACAAAAGTTAGCCAAAGCTGCCTTTCCTGGCAGGGTATTCTAAATAGCCAGCTGTAACTTGATTTATAACCCTATAAATCCAACAGAATACAAGTTTCTCCTCCATTACATCATGTGTGCTGACAATTTACTCCAGCCCCTTGCCAGGGAGGTGTTTAAAAGGATTTTCCATGGCCTTGGTATTTTTGGTTCGCTGTATTTAGAGCTTCAATATTTTGCAGATTTATAGAAAAAGCTCTGATAAAGTCATTTGACAAGAACAATCTGATGATGTAAGTTTCAGACTAAATCCCGGACCAAAGGGGTTCAAAATTACGAATAATTCTGCAATTTTTACCATCACATTGAAACTGACCTTTACACTACAAAACTCTCTGTTCATACAGTCAATGGACAGTATCAGTTGTAAAAAATGTGTGCTGGTTGACCAATTGAAATGACATAGGATGAAAGCACTTCTCAATGGCTGCCATTAACAAAACAGAAACTTAAGTTTGTGTTTTAGAAGTAAATCTCACCTGCGAATCCAAGCATCATTAGACCGAATCCAAGCATCATTAGACCATTAACTAAGAGAAAAAAAAATAAAAACCAGAGATGAGTTAGAGATCTCCATACTATTACAAAAGAGAATTAGTGCAGATACAAGCAAACTTCAGCATAATTTAGGTTTCAACAGAATACTCAAAACATTCATTCAAACATTAGTTTTGGTTTTATTAAAGAGCGTGTCTGAATGGGAAAATAAACATTTAGAAAACATTATATTTTTAAATTTCTGTTTATCTATCCTTTAAATGGCTTAGTCATACAGACTTGTTACGGATCCATCCACACCACTCTTCTCTGTACTTTCCAATGTTAAGGATTAGAGACAGGGAATTTTTTACTTTAAGCTTCTTGAGTGTGAAAAAGTTGGAGAAGACAACACGTTCACTCACAATGTAGGCAAAATGCACATTCTAAAGTGTAGAAAAAAAAAATATCCTTTTGCTATTAAAATTAAGCAAGCACAGAATCATAAATGTGTGCTCTGTTCATTTAGAACTCTGTTCATTTAGAAATGTACTGCTGTGTTTGATGGTCTCCAACCTTTGCACAGTAAAGTCATAAATTTTGAAAAACGCTACATTCAAAACCCATAAGCTTCTCACACAGACAGTACACTAACACAGGTATGTCAGAACGGTACCCAAATGGACACACAGACTATACCAACAGGAGTTTTTTGATCAGCAATTTGCAGTACATCCAGACGGACTAAATTAACAGAAGCCTACTGGGTTTGCACAGCTCCAGCCACACGTAGGATTGTGTAAATGTAGCTAAGAAGGATGGGGATTCAAATATTTTTGATGTATCACTGAAAAAAAAAAAATTGCTGACAAATCTTTAAAGTGTTAACCTTGTGTCAGAAATTAAATCACTCATTTCAGGCAGATGGGTGCCTCCTTGTTTACACACACTGTGTCGCTCCAGTATGATGAATCAAGGTATATGTGGCAGAGTATCAGTCCCAATCACGTTGATATAGACTGTGCGTTAACTGAGATAAGCCCAGTTCTCAACTGAGCTAACTGCAAATTGTTTGTACGTACATCTGAGAAGAATTTAAATCCTTCTAAAGAATATATTTTTTTCTTCCCAACAAGCGTTAACTTCTGTCTCAGTTACTAATGAGCCAGAATGTACTGAAACTGTGAAGAGCAGGAATCCATGTATCAGAAAATTCTGTTGCATCCAAACTTACAGAGCTGAAACTCCACTCCACTCCACTCCACCATCCAAACTTACAGAGCTGAAACTCCACTCTGATGGCTGTATCTCTTTCACAAATAGAGCACTTTTCTTCCCAGACTATTAACTGTTATACTAGTAAATATACTTTAGTCCCTGGGTAGTTTTTTTCTTTAATCCTCACTTGAAAATGCACCTTATCAACTGCAGAAAACTGAAGCTCAAATTAAAAGTGCAAAATTTAGGAGGAAGCCAAACGCACCCGTTCTGAGGAATCAAGCCTAGATACACATAGGTGTCCACAATGCTCCACTTGGAAGAGCACAGATTGCACCTACAATTCTTATTCTATCAATTCCTACCACTGATCTCTAGATCCTTCATAGTTATTGCTGCAGTAATCCTCACAAGACCACGATGAGGCAAATAAAACAGGATTTACAATGCAAGAGAACTGGTAAGAGAAAATAACATGCCCATGTTTTACAGACAAGAGGTTGAGTAACCACCCCAGTGTCAGGCAGAGAAGCTGTGATAAATCAAGTACCAACTCAAGGCTTACAGCTTTGTGCTCACAAATCCCGCTGCTCACAGGAAAATGCGAATCCTGCAATTTCTGATCTGCTCATAACAAAGTAACACAGGATGTTGTGCGCCTATCCTCAAACAGAAGAGTCCAGGCACCTTCAGAGAAGTGTAAAACAACAATCCAGACCACCACCTGGGCTATCAGGCCCACCCCTCTTTGTCTTCTTTATTCCCAGATATCGAACTCATAATAAAGATTTAATCAGCTTGTTGGCTATGATAGTTTATACAAAAAGTATGACCTTTCCAGCAGTTCTTTTAAGAAGGAGCAAGTTCAGCCTATTTCTTGAAAGGCTGATGCCATCACGTCTCATTTAGAGGATACACAGAGGAAGGAAAGGTTGGAAGGTGTTGCCATGATCCCCAAATAAACAGTTGCCATACACTCCTACACAAACCAACATTTAAGGGAGGGAAAAGCAGGTTCCATCTGACTGCACCAGTAGCCTGCAAGTTAAATCATATTAATAACGGACCACCTCAACGGCCTTTAACTTTTATTTTCTTCATTTACTGCAGCAGCATGTATGATGGACCCTAGCATTAGCGGAATCAGATGCGAAGAGACCAACCAGTTTGGAGCCAGAGCAAGAGGAGAAGGAAAGCATCATCAAATGAAAGATGAGGAAAGATAGGTTTGAAGAGCCTCTTGAAAGAGAAAGAAGAAAAGATAAGCAAAATAAGATAAAGTAACAGAAAATAAGAAAAACCAAGAAAAAACCAAGTTTTTATTAACAACCTACTTTGAAATGTTCTCTATGAAAAAAAAAGAAAATCTGGTCCTAAACCTTCACTGCAGCCTCTTATTATCTGCTCTCTGCTCTTCCTTTGTAAACAGGCGTTCCTCTGACATTAAAAAGGGAATTCAGGATGGGATCCACAGCAATACATAAATTCCCTATTGGGATACACAGGAAGGTAACTGTCCTACAATTTCTCAAGTACACAAACTTGTTTTTCTGTGAAATGGATAAATATTTCTCAATGATTATTTTTCTGTTATACTGTTATTATACACTGGTATTTTTTCCCAGTGGCTTAAAAGTAGCACTGAAAGTCTTTGTACTGCAAATACTTCATAAATCTGAAGGAGTATTCAAATTCCTGTGTGTTCTTCCTACTGCACGTTCCTCCAAACACTTTTTAAAAATACTTTTGAAACCTTATATAAGTATATGAGGGAAATGTTACAATATTATTTACCCTTGCCTGAACATTTCTTCAGGATGCTGCTATTACTGACAGGGGAATAAGCCTTTTGAGTGGCTCCAATGCTTGCACAGAATACAAATACCAAATAATTCTTGTTTTACCTGACTGGTGTATGCAGCTTTTCACCAGCAATTACAACAGTGTAATCCTATGTATATTCTTCAAAATTTGTGATGGCTGATTCAAACCCAAATTTTTATCAATCATACTTTTCATAAGAAAAAAACAATATATAATGGCTTCAAGTTAAACCCCATGTCAAGACCCTACTTCTACACCTCTTTTTAAAGAAAATCCTTTAAAGGAAAATCCTAAAGAAATTACCATCATCTAATCTTTAACTATATGTCAGGACATCAGATCAATATTGGAAGTTATGCACTAAAGAAACACCTGCCTCTCTGCAGAATCTGAAGTTTTACTAATAGCAGCATGTTTCTGTGCAAGAAAAGCTCTGACATACGGTTCATGAAAGCAATAAAAACTGTAGTTTGAAATGGCAACTGTTGCTCTGCAGTCATGCCCCTATGATTTGCTGGAAACACAGGAGAGAGATTAATACTCTATTAATGTCATTTAGTCATACCGATCAAATCTTATTACCCCCAATTCTTTTATAAATCTGTTTTTAAATACTGAACAAGTCAATCTTAAGAGAAGTCTACCCATGTTTCTCCGGTTATTTCCATGTTACATAAAGTTACCTGTTGCATAAGTAGTATTAAAGATCATGTTAAATTCACCAATCTCTTATGTAAACCCCAAGTTATACCATTACAGCTTTTCTGGCAGGAATGTATAGACATTTCAGAGTATCTAAAGCATATGAAAGTCCCATGGAAACAACTCCACCTGTGCTCTTACACAAAGACAAGAGGCATCCCACTTCACCACAGCACTCTGGTTACAACTGGGGTGGGGTTTCTCTATTATCTGTCTTCCTGGGCATTTACGAGCTCAAGAACCTCATATCACCAGGGTCTATATGAATACAGAAGGAAAAGATGAGCTAACACAGGCTGCTTTCCAATGACTTCTCTAAAAGCCCTCTATGGGGAGCAAGTCAAATGCATGTGGCCAAGACACTCCAGGCTCTGAAGAAGCTGAGCAAACCTGAAACTTGATAGGAAAGCTAACAAAGGTCCCACAAAGGTCTGAGCTCACAGTCCTATTATTCAAAGGAGGAAAGACAAAACTGTTTGCTCAAATATATTTCATCAAACTTTTTTCCCCTGCATAATCTCTATGCCTAGCTTCAGCCAAATACCATCAGTAAGCACGTTTTAAAGGTACATGAAGGCATGTGATGATGATACTAAACTGAGGGGGGTGGCTGACACACCAGAAGGCCATACAGCGAGACCTGGACAGGCTGGAGAGCTGGGCAGAGAGGAACCTGACGAAATTCAACAAGAGCAAGTGTCGGGTGCTGCACCTGGGGAGGAATAACCCCCTGCACCAGGACAGGTTGGGGGTGACCTGCTGGAGAGCAGCTCTGAGGAGAAAGACCTAGGAGTCCTGGTGGACAACAGGATGCCCATGAGCCAGCAATGGGCCCTTGTGGCCAAGAAGGTCAATGGCACCCTGGCGGACATCAGAAAGAGTGTGACCAGCAGGTCCAGAGAGGTTTTCCTTCCCCTCTGCTCTGCTCTGGTGAGGCCCCATCTGGAGCACTGGGTCCAGTTCTGGGCTCCCCAGTTCCAGAATGACAGGGAACTGCTGGAGAGGGGACAGCAGAGGGCTACAAAGAAAACAAGGGGCCTGGAGCATCTCTCTTATACAAGGAGAGGCTGAGGGACTTGGGTCTTTTTAGTCTAGAGAAGAAAAGGCTGAGGGGGGATCTAATCAATGCTTATAAATACTTAAAGGGAGGGTGTCAAGAGGACAGGGCCGGTCTTTTTTCAGTGGTGCCCAGGGACAGGACAAGAGGAAATGGGCACAAACTTGAATAGAAGAAGTTCCATTTAAACATGAGGAGGAACTTCTTTCCTTTGAGGGTAGCAGAGCCCTGGAAGTGACTGCCCAGGGAGGT